GTCATCATCATTATTATCATCATTATCACCATCATTATCATCATCATTATTATAATTTTAAGCATCATTACCATCATCATTATCATCATTATCATTATCATCATCATTTTTATCATTATTATTATTATAATGACTATCATAACTATCAACATTATAATCATTATTATCATCATCATCATTGACATTATCATCATCATCATTATTATTATTATTATTATAATTTAAAGCATCATTACCACTATCAATATCATCATCATCATCATTATCATCATCATTACTATCATTATTATCACCATCATTATTATCATCATCATCATCATTATCATTATCTTCATTATTGTCATCATCATTATTATCATTATTATCATCATTATCATCATCATCATCATCATTATTATTATCATTATTATTATCATTATCATCATTATCATTATCATTATTATTATCATTATCATCGTTATGATCATTATAATCATGATTATTATCATTTTTACTATAATCTTCATTATTATCATCATCATCATAATCATTATTATCATCATCATTATCATCATCATTATCATCATCATTATCATAATTTTGAGCATCATTATCATCATCATTATCATTATCATCTTCATCATTATCATCTACATTACTATTATCATCATCATTATTATTTTGATTATCATCATTATTATTATTATTATCATTATTATGATTATCATTATCATTATTATTATCTTATTTCTCATCATCCTCATTATCATCATCATTATTGTCACCATCATCATCATCATTGTTATCATCATTATAATTATCATCATCATTTTTATTATCATTATCATTGATATGATCATTATAATTATCTTTTTTATCATTATCCTCATTATTATTATCATTATCATGGTCATCATCGTTATTATCATCATTATCACCATCATTATCATCATCATAATTATAATCTTTATCATTATTATACTATCATGCCCCATCATCGTTATCATCATCATCAATATCATAATTATTATTATCATTATTATAATTAGCATTACCATATGACCATTATTGTCATCATTGTCATCATTATTATCAATAACATCATTATAATCATTGACATAATATACATCACTATTATCCTTAATATTATTACTATTATTATTATTGAAATCTCTAGTTTCATTATCAACATGATCATGATTATCATTATCGTCATCATCATTATAATCATCATCATCATAATTATTATCGTTATCGTTATTTTTTTTTTTATGAATATTACTCTTATTAACATTATAATTATCATCATGATCATCAACTTCTTTATTATCACAATTATCATCATAAACATTACCATCTTTAATATTTACATATTTGTAATCATCATCATCTTGATCATCATCATTATTATCATCATTAGCATCTAAATTATTATTATCACCATTATTATTATACGTTTCGTTTAAATTATCATGATTGTTGTTATCGTTTTCATCAATATTATATTATAATCATCACTATAATTGTCATCATCATCGTAAATATTATTATTACTTACTATTATCATCGTTTTTGGTATGATCAGGATCGTCAGTATCATAATCATCAACATAATTATCATCATTATCGTTATAAACATTATAATTATAATTATCATCATCATTTGTATCATCATCAACAATATTATCATCACCATCATCATTATCATTATTATTTTTATTATTATCGACATCATCATCATCTTTATCGTTATTCTTAATAACATTAACTTTATCGTCATTATTACCCTTACATTATTATCATCATTATCATAATTAACATAATTATTATCATTATCATTTTCATTCTTATTACAAACATCATCCTTAAAATCATTATTATTATCGACTTACCGATGTCGTTATCTTTATGATCATTATCAGCATCGTCATTATATCGTTACCCTCATCATTGTTATAATCATCATCATTAATAATATTCCCATTTTTATCCTGACTATTATTATTATTGTCATCGTGAACCTTATTATTATTATAATTATAATTATTATCATCATCATTGTTATGTCATCATTAATCGTTATCCATATTATTATTCTAGTTATTTTCATTATTATTATTAGTGTTATCATCGTCATGATTATTATAATTATCATATTTATAATCGTTATTTTTATTATCATTGTAGTCTTTGTTATCATTTTTGTCATTATCGACGTCTTTTCAATCTTTACCATCGTTATTATTATAACTATCAATCTTTTTATCAATTTCATTATTTTTATTATCATCAGTATTATTATCAACATCGTCGTCATCATCATCATTATCATTATCGACATTCTCATTATCATAATCATTTTTTTTAATATTATTATAATCTTCATAATCATTATTATTATAATCATCATTA